TTGGCATCAAACCCATAAAATGTCTCAACTGTCTTATAGATTTTATCACCTCTTCTATATTTTCCAATCGTTGAGTGAATTTTTCCTTCTCAACTGATTTGTTTAAGTCAAGGACCTTATTACAAATACAAAATTCATCAGGTTTCAACTCAGAAGTAGTAGGACAATCAGTGGGGAATGATGCTCCAGGTTAATATGATGAGTTCTTAACAGCAAAATAAATTGGTGACTGAATTTCCTGGGGTACAGAGGTGAACTCAGGAATATGAACAGGTGTAACACCCAAAGAATTTGTGGGGTTTTCAACAAGACTCTTTCCAGCAGTCAAATGCTTATCAATCATTTCTTTCATATTGTTTAGTAGATCGATCTGAGAATTAGCTTCGATTTGTGCCAACTTGCTCCTCAATTCCTCTTGTATTTCTTTCTACTTTATCTCAAATTTGGCTAGCCTATCTTCAGTTTCTTTAGACATTTTTCTTGTGTCGTGCTGAGCGTTCTTGCTTCAAGGAAAAACCAAGATCACTTCGTTTGAAATCCTTATTTTAATGAATGAATGTTTTAATGTATTATGACATAAAAAATGCAAAGATGCCAAATGCAAATGTAAATATGTGAATGTAATAACAAGAATACAAATTGTGCAATACAAATGCAAAGATGCCAATGTAAATATGCAAATGTAAAAATGTAAATGTAAATTATTTAAAATACCAGAATAGGACATCCAGTTTATTAAGACTGCCCTTTTCTTGATATTGAAAATAAATAACATTATTATTTAATTAAATATGTTTTAATGCATGATGTAAATTTAAAAATGTAAATGTAAATACAAACGTAAAAATGTACAAATGCAAATACAAATGCATGTATGAAAAGATGTTACTCAAGTGATCATCTTAGAACAGATTTCATTGAACGCAAAAGTTTCGGTACATCAAACAAAACTTTATGTAGGGATATATTTCATTCCTAACTTCTCCAAAGCCAAATTAGTCTATCAACTTAAGGGACATATTGCTTGTCTGGACTGCAACCTCTTCCATGACCTTCTCTTTCATTTTCTGTGTCACTTCTCGGAGTTGCTCATTTTCCCTTGTAAGAGATCTTTTCTGTCCAAGAAGTTCTTGAACAAGATCTTCATATATGTTGTTCTTTTCAGCTTGGTGACCCCTGTGATCCACTCTTCTGGGGTACTTCCTAAGCCAATATTTTGAAAGGCTTGATGATTTTCTTAAAATCTTCATGCATAGTTTTCATTTCTGTGTTCAATTTCTTGTTTTGGTCGTTCAAGTCCTTCAAATAACATGCTTGAGCTTCATAAAAATCTTCACTACTATGAATGTCCCGACTGATACTCTTACCATAGACTGCTTTTGGTATCAATCTGGCAGAATCTTTGTGGAGTACTTTTGGTATTAATATAACCGGTTCTCTGTGTGCAGAACTTCCCTCCATCCTCGTAGTTTCTTCAGGATGTCTTTCCTTGGCCGCATCATATTTTGTTTGATCATAAAACTTTTTGTCCATTTACGATTTCTTTCCAATATGATGAATAGTCTTTCCAGTAAACACCTTTTGATTATGCCATGATCATGCAATGTAAACAAAAGAAAATAAACAAATTAGAGCAATGTAACATGCATGGAAAAATAAAAAACAAAAATAGAATAATTAGTACCAACTAATGGAAAAAATATATCTATCAAGGTATAAATCTTAACCTCGTGCTTTCTAGTTCCATGCTTTGTTTGGAAAATTTAACCTAACTGCATGATTTCTAGTTCGCATGCATTTATTCAGGAAAAAGAAATAAATTAAAAGCTAGAGTTTATTTCTCCTTTGTGTATACCTACTGACAAAATTTCGGCATGGTTTCAGATCGGGAGAGTTTATAGGGTTTATTATATGCAGGTTTTCAGTTCTAGGAGTAAAGGTACTCGAACTGTCCTTGTTGATGCCCCCTTGGGCTGTCAACCCTCAATCATAGTCCATTACAGACTTAAGCGGATTGAGTTCAATTCGAGGGGATACATTTCTCTATACCTGACACAGAGGATAAATTCTCACGAAGATATAGAGCATATGAACCCCGAAAGTTACTTGCTAGGTCTAACACGGAGAATAAATTCTCACGAAGACGTCGCTTTCACTCCCACTTAAAAGGGACAAACTCAATTATAGAGCTTTATGTTATGCAATGCAACTGTTGTGTGCGAGAAGAAATGTTCAAACCTCTAACAGACAAATAATAAAATAAAATACTTGAAAAATAAAATGAAATAAAAATAATATACATATAAATAATATGAAAAATAAGTATATATAAAATTTTGAAAAGAAAGAATTAAAATTAAATATAAATTTTAATTTTTAATTAATAGAGCCATTTATAATTGATTTTTAAAGTTTGACAGTCCCCAGTGGAGTCGCCAAGCTGTCGTAACCGGTTTTCGTCCGGGCACGAAATATTTACTTGACGGGAAAAGTGATGTGAATAAATGGTTTTGAAAATAATTGGGAGTCGCCATCGGCCTTTTGGGTCAGGTAGGTCGAATACCTAAAAAATATCTTTTAAAAGAGTTTTTAAGAAAACATCAATTAAAGATAAATTGATCTGCGTTTTAACCAAAAATTCGTTCTTTTTAATAATAAAAAGGGATTCGTGGTCGGGTTACGTTTAGGGAATGATTAGCACCCCTACAACGCCCAAAATTGGTACTTTTTAATTATAAATTGTCTCTATTATTAGAAATTTAAAAATTCAAAATATTTAATTTATAATCCTATTTAATTTAAATTTATTATTATAATTTTAAGAAAATATATTAATATATATTTATTTTTATAAATAGATATTTATTTACTTAGAAATATCAGAAAATGGCTTCTAGTTGCTTTAAGACAGCTCCTTTCTTAATATAATAAATAAATAATGTTAATAAAACATTTATCTAAAAATAATTATAATATATTAATATGATTATAAAAATAGGACATTTTTTATTTAATAATATCAAAAACTTCTATGTATTTTAAGACAGTTCTTTTCTTAGATATTAAAAAATAAATACATATCAAAGTTTTATTTTTCTTAAAAGTAATTTATAAAATTAAATTTATAAAAGGATTTTTATTTAATAAACAATAGAATAAATAAATAAATATTATATATATTTATATAACTTAATAATAATAATAAATAATCATGAGATATAATTTAAACCTATATCAAAAGTAATAATAAAATAAATAATAATAATTAAAATGAAAGAAAATAAAGTAATAATATTAAACTATTGGATCATATTCATAATATGAACTTAAAATGTAAAACTAAAACTTATGGTTAAAATTAGATCATATAAAATTTAATGATCAAATTATAAAATATAAATATTTAAGAGACATGGTTAGAATTATCATAAATATAAATACTAGTAGTATAATTAGCCATTAATTATTTAATAGGTGATTAAAAGAAATATTAAAATTATTAGGGACTAAATGTGATATTTATCCTAAATATTATTTAATACTGGTAAGGACTAAAACATAATAAAATAAAATTCAAAGACTGAATTAAAATGTTCAGAAATTAATTTCAGTGACTAAAATGAATAATTATAAAACTTGGATGGCTACGAAAAGGGTTTAGCCATGCATAAAATTACAGATATACCCCTCCCAAAACGACGTCGTTTGAGGAAGGGTATAAATCCCCAAACGGCTGGCCCGAAGGGCCAGCTCTCTCATTCTCCTTTCTCCCTTCTCTCTCTCAAACGAGAGAAATTTTTTTCTCTGGCTTCTCTCTAAGTTTCCCTCGCCGGAGGGAAACCGGCCACCGACTATGGTGGCCGGAAAATCTCAAAATACATAAAAATAAAAGTCTCACTCTCCTTATTCCGATTTTGAGCCTTTTTATTCCTAAAAGTCTCTCATTCGGCCTAGATCTAGGCTTTTACCTTCGGTTTTTGGTGGTTGCACGGCGGTTTGGAGACTCCTACAAGGGTAAACTGCTCCACTCTCTTCTCTTTCTTTTATTTTTTATACTGGTTGTTGTGTTTTCGACTTTACTGTGGTTGCTCTCGATCTTGGTTGCTGTTGTGTTCCTCTCGGTTTTTTCCCCCCTTCTCTCGTCTTGCAGATGGCTTTATAGCCTCGATGAGGCTCTCGTCGGACCGGTTACAAGGGTGTAAGGCTCGGTGAGTCACCAAAGCTATGCTGGTGACTCACCATAGAGACGACGTGTACGGCTGTTATCATGGCAGCAAAGCTTCTGGAGGCTTCTGGCGATGCGTGGCAATGGCGTCGACACAGGGGAGGTGGAGACAGCGGCGGCCGCGTGGTCCCTAGGGTATCATAACCCTAGGGTTTTCTTGTTGAAACTTTGGACCGTTGGATCTTGCCAGATCCAACGGTGGAGATCGTCTGGCGGCTGGGGATGAGATGGAAACCCTAAAAGGTTCTGCTAGGCCTGAACTAGATTGGGCCGGTTTGGTTGTAAACGGCCTGATTATTGGGCTCCGGGTTTTGTAATTATTTATTAAATAATAATAATATATAATATTAATAATAAATAATAATACTAATAATAATTATAATAAATTTAAATGAAAAAATTGATGTCTACATTATGTATTGACCGTAACATGAAAATAATACATCAGTGACACATGTTAACCGTTAGTCAACTAACATTTTCCTTTTAACATAAATTACTTTGACTAAAAATTAAAATGTTAAAATTAAAATACTTCAAAAAAAATGAGACAAAGTGAACATTTATACAAACGTTAAATACTAATTTTATCATTTGTGCTAACGTTAGGTAATAATTATTAAACATTTATTGAACTGTTGTAAAATAAATCTTAAATTTACCAAAGTTTATCATTATTTTGTAATATTTAATAATTGTTTTGTAACACTTGGATAAATTTAAAAAATATTTTATAATTTTTAAAACTTCAGTAATCAAAGTGTAAATCCAACGTCACCATGAATGGTGGGTTCAATGACTCAAAACACAACAGATGAGCTCAAAAGCTCTTTTAATGTAGTAATACAACACAAAGCACAGTTTCAGTTGATAGGCAGCTAAAGAACACCATGAAACAAAGGCAAAGTTTTTACGACCGAACTCGGGCAAGCCGTGCCCTAAGCTCTTCCAACTCTTCCTCGTCGTCGGCACCCTCTGCTATTGCTTCTTCCTGTAGTATTTATTCGAATTTTAGATCCTTCAGATTTTTTCAGTAACATTTAAGGGGTTTAAACTTTTGCATACCTCGTGAGAAGTACTTTCTTTTTGGGCAGACACCATCACTCTTTCCTTCCGAACAGCTTCAGGAAGCTGCGCTGCAGTTTCACCGGCTATCTCCGAAAGAACCTTGTCAACTTCTTCTTCAGTCTCTTCTTCGATATCTTCAGAATCCAATGCCGAGTCAAGGGAATCGCTTACTATTTCTTCAATAACCCCTGCCTACAAACCAAGTTTATGACAACAAATAAAAGGAACTCCAAAAATATGAAGAGCATGGAGATGCTTCTGACATGGCACTTCTCAAGTCCCTTCTACTTTTAAAAGGGGAAGCTCATCAGTTTTCGTATGTTACAAAATCGTAGACCGATTTGTTCTTTCAATCTATATAACCCAAACTTGAATGTATCAGATACGAATATATACAATGCGGTATGTTCAATTTTTCCCAAGTTTTTTGGAGGATCTTTAAAACATATAAAAAGCCAATCTTGGGGCCAAAAGAAAATATAAAAAGCCAATCTTGAGGAAACATAGGAACTCTGAACAACAATGGTAAAAACCAGAATATTGTTGATGCTGAGAAAACAGGCACTATGAACTAATGAAACAGGAATACAGCTGACAAGATTGATAAATATTACGAAACAAAAACCGACACATAAAATGCAACAAAATTACGAACCTGAAATTTACCTTGGTCATTTCTTTGCTAAATTCTTGCATCGTGGCTGCCAATTGTGGAGCTTTCATGGCATCGTTTACAAGTTTCATGACTTCAGCACTCTTGGACAAATGGCCACAGTTCGAGCAATGCTTCAAATACATTCCCGCAAGAAGACCATTTAGTAAGAAGCAGTTCTTCCAAGAGAAAGCGAACATGTGTTTAAGTATGTCGGATTATAAGTCTAATACGAGAAATTGATAAGTTTATGAAAATAAGCCCGAGCAAACAACATTCTCATCCTATGTTCAAAATAATTGTTCTTTTTAAAGGTACTGGGACATAATAGCATTAACTGGAATAATCACAATACATAGATTTCAGATGCATAAGTTGTCATACCGACACTTTCTCCAAGGTGCATGGATATTGAATTGAGCTGGGCTTTATTATCATATAGACGGTTCACGGTTTTTCTGGATATTACAATTTCCTTTGCAAGTGCCTGAAAAAATATAGAATTAGGGTCACTATGAGTATGCGTATATAAGAAATGACTCGTCAATAACGAGGCAAATGCAAAATTACAGACATGAAAGCATGAACACAAAGGAAACAGATTTCACATATAACACATCCGCTAAGGCACAGGGGTTTCAGCTGATTAGACCACCCAAAGAAAACATGATCATTTCTTGATGACAGAAACCAACCTCTTTCTTTTTTCTGTTTTCAATTTTCGGTTCCAACAAAAACTAGTGAAGAGTTACAACTCCAGATCCCAAGTTCTGCTACAGAGCTTATCAGATGAATACCTAAGATCAGCTAGATTTACGATAATCAAGCGGCATCCTTTTCATGCACGATCAATCATTCTATCAAACTCCAATCAACTTGAGCATTCTAAAGCACAAAAATACTCTACACCATATTAGGACCTAGATCCTTTTACAATGAACTTAATTACAATATGTCATGCTTAAGGGTGGCTACATGAACCAATAGGTTCGCTTAAATTCACAAATGGAGGCCGCGATTGGAGATGCTGGGATTCAAGTCCCTATTGTTGAATGTCACTCTTTAAGGTGACTACATGAACCTTCGGGTTTGCCTCGATGATTTTAATGTAATTATGCAACTTATCTTCTAATCATACCATTCCAACTAAAAAACGTTGAACTCCTCCACTACTATGGCATGATGAATCTATTTAGCTGAAGTTCCATTGAAGGGAAAATGAAATAAATTTTACCTTAGCAGAACCCATGTCATTTCTCTTGGCAGCTTCTTTAATTGCTTTCTGTACACCTTTCTCCTCTCTCTGAATATCTAAAACAAAAGGAAACCCCCATTATTTTAAACCTTAAATGACCATCCAGTTCAGTTGGTAGAGCTCTTAACCTTGAGGTCGTGGGCCAAGGAGAGATTTCATAATTCGGAGGTCTTTACGGAAGCTGCTCTCAATGGGAAAAAAAAGGGACAGCCATTTATTCATTGACTGATAACCCAAAATTACCACCAAAAAACCAATCATCGAGATTTTGAAATGGAAAAAATGAAAAATCTTGCCTCTGATTTGTCGTTCGATATTACGGCATTCTTGACGTAGCTTTCTTTGCCAATCTCTTAGTAATTGTTGTGGATTCGGCTTCGGTTTTAACATATTCTTGAATTTATCCATCTTCTGCACCTAAATTAATCCTTTTTTTTTAAGAAAAAAAGTGAGCACTTCGCTGGGGAAAGCTTGGGTTTTTTGAAGAAAAATCAAAGATTTGTTTTCCTTAGTTTTTTTCCTTTTAATTTCGGTTAAACTATCGAAATGGTCGATCTAAATTTATAATTGTTCATTTTTGTCACTAAATTGAAAAAAATAATGTTTTGTTCACTAAAACGTTAAATGTAATTAGATTTATTACATAACACATTAGTAAAAGGGATTAATTTTTAATATGACCCTGAAAATTTACATAAAATGTCAATTTATCTCTCAAATCTGACCAAAATTATTTGTTGTCAGTAGTCATTTAAAAGCATAAAAACTAAATTAATCGAAATCTACTTAATGGGTTGATTAGGCAATCTTAATCAACTTGAGCTTTACTAACATGTGACGATATCATCAAACCTTGAACTGTTCAAAGCACTCGAACAATGCCAATGAAAAAGCAACTATAGTAGTGTTGTTGTTTTCTTAAAGAATCTGTGTTTGTGTTTGATACTTGTGTTTAATATATCCAGAAGACGATACGTCGGTATGATTCTCCGAGTAGGAAAATAAAAATAACATATTTGTGTAAGACAAATATCCGAATCTAAGTGACATAGTCGGAATGTGTTTCTCAAGTCTAAGGAGGCAAACAAAATCCAGACCAGCAATTGCCTAACAGCCTCCGATGCCTGTACTCCATCATCGTTCGCCGTCGATCATTTAATCGAACAACCCTTCGTCGTGCCAAATATCAACTAGAAAATCTACCATTTCCTGCACAACAAGGTTTATTGCAGTTAGTAGTTGTCGATGTGCGTTTGTTTGTGATGATATTCCTATGGCTGCAGAAATTCATTTAAACCGAGGAAACCAGATCAAACCCACTCCATTTTTTCGTATTCAAATTTTTTTTATGATTGATTCAATAAAAACAACTACTGTTCTTGATGTCCGGTTTGGGAAACTTACAGGCAAAGGAATTGGCTTCGAAAATGGCTCATAGTCAAGAGATGGTCTTCATGTGTTGTGGACCAGCTGCAACATAAAGTTTTCGCATTATTATCGAACATATTTGAGCAACAGTAAGAAAATTTTAAACTAGTAATAATCTGGATATCGAGTAGTCGATATCATATAGCACATGAACGAAACAATCGGAAGAGATGTTCGTTAATTCGTAAATGTTATGCCTTGTAATCACTATTGCTATGCTGCAACTGTGACAGTTCCCTCTGAAGTTAGATCATATGTATTCTATGCTAACAAGTTTCTGGAGTTTGAGAATCTGTATCTATAAACATCAACAATAGCCACCTTCTCGGACAGGGAAACCAGGTCAGTTCACGGTCACCTTCCAAAAAATAAGGCACACGGTAAAAAATGTGCCACCTACGAGGCATCTCTCATTACTCGAACTTCGGCAGGGTCTGCGAAAGTTTCGTTCGACATTGAAGTTTGAACAAATTAAGAGAAAACACTTAGAGCCTCGATTTTTTCCACAAACCTGGATCTATACCACTTGAGCCAAGCAGAATAGCAACTTCAGCTCAAACTTTTAACTGCACATACGAAGACGAACTAGATGGTAAGACAACGTTTATTGGCACCAAGAATTTGGTTCTTCCCAGCCATTTTCCTTCAAATGGAAATTTTATCAAGATCTACTTGTGCCGGAAACATATACGTCTGACACTCACCACCTAGTCCAGGTTACATAGATTTCAACTAGGCTGTTTCCAGATGCATATATGGCATCTATCTCCCCACATCTAGAATAGTAACAGTATAGAAATACCAAACCGTCATCGAACAAAAGAAGTAGAAAACGTTATACCCTATAACTTGATCTTGCAGGTAGTTCGCGATTGTTGAGATTTATCCCCTGTCCACCTTTTCCTGTTCTCGTGCCAAGTGATTGCAGCTACATAATAGATTCAATCAGATCATAACTTAATGCTCAAAAGCCAAAGCATAATATAGACTCAATGGAAACAAAAGAAACAATAGTTCTAATCAGCATTTCCTGTCCTCTTGTACTGGGTACAGCATTTTTGGACATGGTACGGGGATATGACCCTCTAAATACATAGCAATTTTCGAAAATAAACCATAACTGTTCTCAGATATGTACTCATATCCAACATGTGAGTCCGAATGGAGGGTACATCAAGATAATGAAGGGTAAGTACTGGTGGCATTGTCGATGCAGAAAGTGGGAAAATACCAATAATCAAACACTATAGTTTCATCTAAAGCAAGGGAACTAACCATGATTTACAAATGCAGACCGCCTGCGTCTTTTTCCGCAGGCTTTTTCCCTTTATCAGCAGATTTTCGACAATCCAACAGTTGTTTCTCATTTGAACAGGAATGTCCAGTATTGACCTACATCATCTCCGAACCAAATGACCATTCCACTTTTCATAAAAATTGAAAGACTAGCCGCTCCTCTTAAGTTCCCCACAAAAGTTGGCGGGCCTTCAAGTCCACCGATATGCAAGAACAAGATCTGGTAAACAATGAACATCAACTAGAAAGAAAAAGAATAATTTCAGTACGAACATCGATTGTTTACAACATATGACTCTATCAATTCTGCTCGGTAATAGTATATGCTGTAGAATACATAACGATATATCGCAACCAGATATGTTTTTACATCACATGTATATATCTACACCTTATCACAAGAATTTTCACCTTGAATTTAAACTTCCTTATAGCTCGGATTCTAAACATCTTAGGACATTAATACACACACACATTCGTTCTACATCATAACTACCTTCTTCCCTAGTGCTTATTCGTTCAATATCCTTATGCACACGAAACAAGAGCATGTACTCATGTTTCAAGAAATAAAGCTCAAGTAACCAAAAATACGAACTCCTCAAAGAACATTTCTGCATGTAAAGTTCTTGGTCAAAGAACACAGCACAACACCAGTGGATTCCTACAAAATTTCTCATGAATTTGTCCTCATTCAGAAAATCTAATGAAAGCAAAAACCTAAACGATCATCTCTTGTTGAAGACATTTACAATTTCAAACAGTACATTGTTTTAAAATAATCTTGACTATATACACATAATTAAAAAAAAATACATTCCAAATTCATTGCTTTTCCACTTGAGAATCAGCTACAATGACAAGACCTATTATACAAGAACAAATGTGAACATATCAAACAACCCATATAGAAGATTCATAAAAAAAAAAAAAACTAAAACACGTACTCTAAAAACCAACAATGCATTTGGCCATGAAAAGTAAAACAAAAAACCCCATTTCAGAATCAACCAACAAAACAACAAAATGGGAAAACCCAACAGAAGAGAAAGTAAAAGAGAAAAACCTTTGAGGATGCAAAAGTGGGATTTTGGAGATGGTTTGTGGAAGAGATTCAAAAGGAAATTAGATTTCTCTTTTGTAATAAAAGGGAGGAGGAAAAATCACTGTGTATGTTTTCTGCAAGTTTTCTTTGTTTTGTCGTCATCGTTCTTAGCTTTGGTTTCATTACATTGGTATGTAAGAATGTTTTCGTCTTGGCTGACGTGGATGTGATTTGGAATTTTGACGCGTGGAATTTTATAACGGATAAACTTGTTTGCAAGATTATCACGTGTTCTATTATCAACAAAAAAACGATACATATTTGTCGATCAGATACATACAAGCACATATTGCACCAAAAGTCCCTAAACATTATGGATGTTCACTTTTGGTTTAGTCGAAATTAACCGATTGAATCGAATTAATTCGGTTAAACGGTTGACCATTAAAATTAATTCGATTTTAACTTGATTAATTAACCAAATTAACTTAATTAATCAAAAATATTCAATATGATATATATATATATATATATATATATATATTAAGCTCAAGCTATTAAGAATTAAAATCTAACTATTTTTTAAACACACTAAAACTCATTAAATTGTCAAGACTTAATTAAATTTTAATCCAACAAAAGAATACCTCTTAACTCATATTAATCTAACTAAAAACATTTATAAATTTTTCGGTTAATTAATCACGACCAAATTAATCGGACTTTGTTATTCGATTAATATTAAAGATTTTTTATTAATTCAGTTTTTGGAGAACTTAGTTCGGTCGGTGTTTGAACTGATTGTTTGAACACCCTACTAAACTTAAGACTAAATCGTAGATTGATTTTATACTTTAAAACGTGTGAATAAATTCTTAAAATATCTTATAATTAAAAAGTTTAATATAAAAAATTTTAAAATTATATCATTTTTCTTATTTAGGTACCTAAACTATTTTTCAGTCAATCCGTATATACAATGTCATAACTTATAAGCGTTATTATTTTAAGTGTCCCAGTTATAACATCCGTTAAAAATTTTCATTAAAGACATGTCATATTTTTATAATTTTGAAAATTTTATTTTAAATGAAACTAAAAAATTAATATATTTAAGAAATTATATGTCATCTTCATCCTCTCTATCTGCCTTGTTAGTATGAGTTGTCGGGTCGCTTCAATTTCGTGATTTTAAGATTATTGTTCATTGGTTTTAAATCGTCGGTTGGAGGTTCTTCGAGTGATTGTGTCATGGTGGAGATTCGATCGATGTCGACGACGACAAAAGGCAGCGATCGATTTAGTATAGAATTTTTAAAATTATATAAATACGAGTGGCACTTAAAGAAGTTTTTTAATTTTAATAGCCATTACTGACAGGACACTTAAAATGATAACATCTATAACCTTAATCAATTGGATTTAAATCGTCCAGCTCAGTTGGTAAGCGGAAGGCTCTTAACCTTGTGGTCGTGAGATTGAGTCCCACGGTGGACAATTCATAATTGTCGGAGGTCTTTCACGGAAGTTGCTCTCAACTTAGCGTTGGAGACAACCTACTACCATACCTCATTACATATGAGAATAGGGTCAGCTGATTTTTTTATAGTTTAATTACTTTTTATATTAAGCCTTAAAAAACATAAGCAACTAATTATGTTGTTTAACTAAAAGAACAATATACTATAAATCAACGTCAGTTAGGGTAAGGGCTAATATGTTACTGACTCAAAAGTTGTATATTAATATTTAAATATGAAAATATATAATTTTTAGAAAAATAATACCACAATTCAATAATTTCAAAATTATGTATCCAAAACTCCAAAAGTTATCTATCACAGGTTATGATAAAGAATAATTTATTAAATATAGTTATATAACGCAATGGCTGTACAGCAACCGACCTTAGCTCAGTTGGTAGAGCGGAGGACTGTAGTGAGTTTCTCTCAAAGATATCCTTAGGTCGCTGGTTCGAATCCGGCAGGTCGGATTTTTTGTCTCTTTCACTTTTTTTTTCCATAGATTCATTTCTTTAAAGGACTTTTTTATATTAAATACTGATTATGCACTGGAAAAGCAAAGCCAATTGGAAAATTAAGACTAATGTAGCTAATATCAGCCATTTATAAAAATATCCTCGTTTTTTATTAGGTTCAGGGTTCTATTCTCCCCATTTATATCCTCCATTTTTCTTTTTACATGAAATCTATATTTTTTATTCAATCCATTTGAAAGTATGAAAGCATGTTTGTTCATGAGAATAAATTTTATCGGCCGTTGACAATTTACTCCATCTAATTTAAATGGAGAGTTGTAATCGATGAAAGAATAATCGTTGATTAGTATTTTTACATTATAAAGAGTCAGTCATCAGGATTATAAAATAGAAAAAAGGATCATTGGAAAGTGAGTCACCTTTTCCCCGATATCAATTAAAAATACTTACAGTGGTATTTAGTGCGTGTAACAATCATATGATTATTATAGTTGTTTGTAGGTAACCAAACTATAAAATTTTTGTCTAAATGTCTTGTTCATACATTGTGGTTGGTTCAAAAACTTTTACATGAAGTAGTCGAGTTCTCTAAAAGCTTTGATAATCAAAGAGATAGATCTATGACCTTTGATCAGTCTGAGAATTGATAGTTTTCAGAGATCATTCTTCGGAGACATAACAATATTTGTAATAATACTAATTATTATTTTAAAAATTAAATATCAAAGTCTTAAAAAACTAAATGTTGATAATATCTTTTTGGAGTAAATTATATATTTTGTATTTTATCCATTCTCTTATTTTTGTTTTGATAAATTTTTCTTAAAAAAAAACCTGTCTAACGTCTTTATTAAGTTTGATTATTGACTAAACAGAATGATGATGTGTCATGATATAATAGTTTTAACTCTCAAATTTATATATCTATCAAATTAGTCATAATAGAATGTGTAATTTTGAACTAAAAATATCATCGTATCATGTCACACAATCATTTTTGTTAAATCAATAATCAAACTTAATGTATGATATTAAATAAAATAAAATAATATTAGATATGATTTAAAAATAATTAATAAAAAAACGAAAACACCAAGTAAATGAGACAGTAAATAGTTAGTTTATCCCATTTTTGCACATGTATATAAAAAGACAAGGAATATGAAGAAAAAATCCAAATTGTCATTAGGTCGTTGGGTCATAGGGGTACAACTGAGTCTACCCTACGCCTTAAGGCACTCCATTAATTTGAACTGTCTAAAATGTCGGTGCTGACAAGTAAAAGTGTAAAACTCATAAACTTTTAATTTTTTAAATCCATCTATTTTGTCTATTTATATAACCTTCGACTCGAGATATATATTTTTATAATCAATGGTAGCCTTTCCAGAGTTCGATCATCAAATGGAGCCCTCATTTCAGTAATTAAAATCAAATGGATTTCTTTTATGATTATTAAGTGATTAAATTATGCATTTAACCTCCGTTTCAATTTTAATGACACATCAAAATGATTGTGATCTATAACTAAGTGACTTAGTTTTTAACTTTTAAAGTTAATTATTATTTTTATATTTAGTAATTGGATGATTCGAGTAATTTACCCATTAATGCGGATTCCACCGAATATTCTCACCTCGGTCTGGTAGAAGTAAATATCACGTGATAGGAGGACATAAAAATCTCCCACGTGCTGAATCTTCAACGTGTAAAATTAAGAGGCAGGGCGTTAGGTGATCAGTGACTTACCGAATTTACCGTTAATTTATCGCGATAATTTCCAAATTATCCGGAAACGGTAATATGACCACGAAATTTATAAGATTTAAGTAATGGTTTGGTATAAAATAAAAGCATTGTAATTTTTTTATATTTTAGAAAAGAACATTAAAGAAATATTTGATTGTAAAAAAATTTGAAATATAAGTAGTTATAAAATCACCTTGTGGTTGTTTTATTTTGATTGATTAATCATATTTTATTTAATATAATTAATTTTAATTTTATTATTAATAATTATTGTTCATTTCTATTTAAAAAATTGAAAAAATCATTTTTTAAAGTAAAACAAACTATAGTATTTCTGAAAGCAAATTAATCCTTATTTTAAACATTCTACTATGATTATTTATATGTTTATAATAAATTTTTGAACTCGAATCATTTAGAAAGAACAATACTCTATACAACTGAATAGTTTAATTATTCAAAGAAATAAAGATACTTTTTTATAAAAAAAACCATAAAAAGGTCATCTTTGCACCTACCATCACCAACTACCTACCCAATCACTAAAATATTTCATTTGACCTTTCTCAAATGCTCAACACTTTAATATTGGCAAATCTGTTTTGCAAGTCCTAACAAATTTTGCATATTCTAATTATTATTTTTTCAATTGAATTGTTTTATTTTTTAAGAAATATGTTATTATAAAAATATAATATTTATTAACCTTAACTGCATTCATACAAGGACTTGATTCCATTTCTACAAAATTTTAGGATATATTTGAGTATTACAATTGTAGAATAAATATGATTCAATCTCTAAAATGATCAGCCAACATTATAGTCCCTATACTTTGATAAAGTTTGAAATTATAGTTCATTGATACCGTTAATGTTTTCGGTCGCAATTTACCAACTTCAATGTTATTAACAGAATGAAGGGTAACTACATTAGTACTCCCACTGGCATTTTTGTTTTATTTTGGTCACTCAACTATTATTAAAAAAATATATCTAACGTTACGTTTTTGTTTTACTTTGGTCACTCCCGTTAAAAATTAATAAAACTGCTAACATGAAATTATATTATTATTTAATTATGATGTGCTATTATCTTACAATAACACATCAATTCATTTGATTTGAGTTGAATTTGCTTGACCAAAAGGAGAAGATGACGGTGATTTCGTGTGAAGTTTCAACGATGACGATGTTAAGTGAATGAACTAATGAGGATGGTTGATTTTGACTTAATATGTGGATTGAAGATTGAGTTTACGAGATTTTTGAGGTGATTTTGATTTGAT